AAATTACCAAATTTACTAGCCAACTTGGCTTGAAGGAGTTAACTATCTCCAGTTATCAATGATCAACCCAGGTAAGGGGATTTCTGAACTTTGATCAACGCTAAATGAAAACACAGTTGTAAAGTTTTATCAATTTAATAAAGTGAGAATTAACTCTTGTAAATTATAACAATAATAAATAATGATCAAAATTAATAAACAGTCAAGTCTGAAAATTGCACTGGTATTAATAAAGCTTTATAATAAATAATTTAATGTGGTAGTTAATTCACAAAACTCTCAATAAATAATCTCAAGAAATAAATAATTTGTTGTTGAAAAATGAAATAGAAAATGGGAGGAATGTGGAAAAACTATGAAAAATAATTTATGTCCCTACTAAGCCTCCATACTTATGAAAATGATCAAAAATTCTATAAAAATGAATGAGATGGAAAGGTGTAAAGGGAATAAGCTACATTACCCAATATGACACTATCAACACTCTAGAGTTGAACTGAAAATACCAATGCTAATTCTAAGCTCTTAAAATAACTGACCCAGAAAATAAACAACACCAAAAATAAATAATAAATAGTGGTTCTAGAAAGTAAACCTGTTATCTACATATCCCTAGACCAGGCAGGACTTGGAAAGGGGAAACTTAATTTACTTTAGATACCCTACATCCTAACTGTTTCCTAACAGCTAGAAACCTAGAACTTGTGAAAAAGCTAAGCTTAGACCTAGATTACTGTTAACTCATAAGATTTAATCATAACTTCTAAAATTTACCAAACAAATACCGGTAAGTGCATTTAAACCAGGAGGTTTTAATAGCACAGTAAAGAGGAACTAACCATGAGGCTGTGTTCCCCAACCCAAGTGAAGAAAACTACACGAGCACGGGTTTAAGGTTTCGTCAAAGGTCAACATGTCCAAAAATTTATTTTTACAATAGCCCCAAATCTATGTAAGGTATAAAGTTAAAACTTTTACAGTTTATAAATTATTTATTGATTAACAGATAGAAAGTATCTCTTGATAAAAAAAATACTTGGAATAATATTAATTGAGAAAAATTCTTCTTAAAAATGCATATATTTTCAAAAAAATACACCTAATTAATTCCATGCTTTTAGTGAAAACCATCATTGCAGAAACAAAATATGTTTATCAATGAAGGGCAAGTTGGACTTGGATAGCCTCTGGAAAGTTGTTTTCCCTGTTTATTTTGTCCAAATGTTAAGACTTGAAAGTGAAAGTACACTGCAAATGGCGGATTCTATAGGGGTCTTGTCTTTATACATGTCATGCTTTCAATAACAGCCTTTCAGAGACCATTCACGTCCAACTTGCCCTTCAATGATAAACATATATTATTTCTACAATGTTGGTTTTCACAAAAAGGACAGAATTAAGCAGGTGCATTTTTTTTAAAATATGCACATTTTCTGAAACAATTTTTCTCACAAAATATCTTTTTTAAAAATATTTGTTATCAAGTAATACTTTCTATCTATTAATCAATGTTATTTTTACAAAATGTAAACGTTTTGACTTCATACCACACATAGTTTTGGAGCAATTGTAAAAATAATTTTTTAGACATGTTGACCTTTGACGAAACCTTAAATGCCCTAGCTAGGCCCAAAATAAAAGCCAATGACTATCAAAGATCCTACAGAAAACACTGAGCTATCAAAAATCATTTCTTTATCTTCGGTTTTTAAAAAGTTTAGCTTCCATCATTTAATAGTCGCTCCCAACACGGATACATGTAACAGATATAACTGATAATGTTCATAAGTTGTTTTTTCCCCAATTAAATATCATTTGTTTATTTTGATCTTCTGATAAACTTCTCTTCAGTCATTTGTTCTTCTCCATTCAGATTTTTTAAATGATTGGACGGGATCCTGTCAGAAGATAAATTGTTTTCTGTATACAGCGATTTTTTTCTCTATAACGATCGTCATTTTTAAAAAGTAGTTATGTTATGGTTCTAAGAACGGGGATTGTTTAAGCAAAAAAATGATAAACTTCGTTATTTTATTAATTAATATCAATTAAAAAAATATTAAGATCATGTTAACTATGCATGTTGATACATGTATGTATTATTGATACTTACAATCATATTTTCATTGAACATTTTCAATAAATGACGAAATGAAGGGATAAGTTGCATAAAATACATTCTTTTTAATTTCCATTTTTTTTAAATTGAAAAACATTTTTTTCTCTTTAAATTAACTTAAAAATCGACTTTAATCATGTAGCAAATTCTGATTTAACTAAATTAAGTACAAATGATACAGCATGGTTATAACCAGACTAGAAAAGAACTTATAATACTTTAGAAATAGGTATCTTTATCCTTTCTTGAAAGTTGCTTTTGTGATTATACATGATCAGGAAATCAAATTCAGATCATATTTGGATGTTATACTGATTATTATAGACAGGCACGGATCCAGGAATTGAAGTTAGGGGGCGCAGGCCTTCAGTGGGTCCAGTGGGCGAAGCCCTGGTGGGGGCCCAGAGGGCAAAGCCCTCAAAAGCTTCTGGATTCTAGGGATTTTGTAGGTTAAAAATGACATCAACAGAGCAGACATTTTTACATTTTCTGGACTAAAACTATGATTAAATCAACTTTGACAATTTTTAAGGGGGGGCGTACGGAAGTGAATTTGTGCCATGTCGAAACTTTTTTTTCAATTTCTACACTTTAATGTGAAAAATGTACACTTTAATCTGTAAATTTTACAGTTAAATCTGTTAATGTTACACTTTAATCTGCAAATTTTGCACTTTAACCTGTAAAAATTTCACTTTTATCTCAAAAACTCAAACTGATTTGGCAAATTGAAATTTAAAATTTTAGTTCAGAAATTTAAATTTTCAAATTTCCAAACAGGTTTTAAAATTTCAATATTTTAGATTTTTACCTTAAATGTCCAGAATTCAAACTTCCAGAAAGGATTTTTGAATTTTAAACTTTTGAGTTTTTAATCTACTTTTTGTTTAGAAAGTTTACGCTTATCAGTATAAAGTTCAGTAACATTGTTCGTCTTTCGATTATTTAACATATATACAACAAACTTCTAAGTTTCAACTTTCAAACGTTTTAGATTTTTAGAAATTTGAAATTTTTGCCATTGTTCAATACTGAAAACTAAAAGCATATGTGTAACCTTGATAAATATATATTTATTACATCTTGAGGCGAAGAGGTGATCTTGTAATCCGATAATTGTATGTTTTCCATTATTTTTCTGTTTGTTTGTTTGTTTGTTTGTATTTACTATCAATGTTTGTACGTACACATTGTTCTCCTGTAAATTATCCACTTCTGTACTGAAACTGTTTGCATTATTTTGTACTGATAAGCTGTAAAGCTTAAAGTAACAAGAAAGAAAGAAATAATATAACTCGGTCGCCAGAATAGGTCCAAGATTAGGAACTAACTATGTGCACAAACAAGCTTAAGTGTGTTTAAGATGTTTATTGGCCTCCTCGTCATGAGGCTAAGAGACTACAAAACAAAACAGCCGTCTTACAAATAAATTCATAAACAAACAATTATAAACAGTTATTAAATTCGTAAGATAACACCATGACAATCCATGACATACATTATGCCAAATTTGAAAAATACATGAAAAATCTGTTTTATGACTTTCTAAATACTAGCTTCAATACTGTATTACATTGTTTGACCTTTCAACTTAATACAAACTTGATACAAACCAAATAATTCATAAAGTAAAGTGATAAAGTATCGATACATAAATATACATATCCAGATTTTCCCTAACGTCAATGCCATGTGCGTTTGTGCACTTAGGATTTATAACAAAAATATGCAAAAATCAAGTATAGACAACAGTTAAGACTTATCGTATGCAATAATTATAATGTGATTACAAATATGCAAAGGAAAAACTTACTCTTTGGGCCTTCAAAACAATATAAAAGGGGCAAATATGCCTCCGAAACAAAACGTGAAGTCTTCCCGGAAATACAGTACAGGTATAAAACAGAACATAAAATCTAAAACCAACACGGACAATTTCCGTGTCACCACACTCCCTTTCTGATTTCTGTACAAGAAATCACTATATCAATTACACGTCTCTTAGGAAAATAAACTTAACAAATGTACCTTACATATCTTACAATGTTTCATGCACAACAACTAAGACAAGACTAGTGGCACAAGTTTGTGAATGGGTCTAACATAATGAGATACAGTGTCCCCCCTAACCACACGCACTTCAACTTCACGTACATGTCCATCAGCAGAAGGAAAGGTTCTATTCACACGTGCAACCGGCCACTGATTCCTTGGACTCTCAGACTCTTCAAGCATCACTACGTCTCCTTCCTTTAAACTGGGTTTGTCTGACGTCCACTTTCGTCGAATTTGTAGGGCAGATAAGTACTCACATTCCCATTTTCGCCAAAACTCAGCCGCAAGAGTTTGAACGTAACGCCACTGAGACTTGTATAATTCCTTGGGGTCACACCGATCATGCGCTCCCAGGCTCCACCAAAGTGGGATGCATGTGGAGGGTTGAATATCCATGAGCACTCATTGTCCTGCAAGAATCTCTGTACCATGGGTTTCTCCACAAACTGATGAACCATCTGTAGTTCCTTTGCTGCTCCAACAAAGTTGGTTCCTCTGTCAGAACGGAATTGACGGACAGGTCCTCGTATAGAGAGGGAACGCCTTAACGCATTGATAAAAGAGGAAGTGCTCAATTCCTCAACGAGCTCAATGTGGATACCCCGTGATACCAGGCACGTAAACATAATTGCCCATCTCTTGCTTGTCGCTAATCCTCCCCGTGTACGCCATGCTGTTACATCCCAAGGTCCGAACGTATCGAGGCTGACGAACGTAAATGGAGGTCCTGGGGTCAAACGATCCTTTGGAAGGTTAGCCATTTTCTGACCGCAGAAGGCTCCTCGCAATTTGTGACATGTGACACAGTTGTGAATCTCAGATGCTATCAGACGCTTGGCTTGGCTCCAATTATCCAGAATCCCGATGACCTGATCTTGCCTTCTGTAATCTTGCGTCCTTGGTGGGATACCTTCTCATGAAAATACCTAGTCAATAAGGTGGCTATGTGGGATTTCTTAGGTATGATTATAGAGTGTACGTCCAAGTCAACTAACTTCTGTACAGCAGAAATCCTACCACTAACACGTAGTAAGCCATTGGAGTCCAGAAATGGTACCAAGGAAATGATGCTGCTACCTTTAGGTATGGGCTTCTCCTTGATGAGACATTCTACCTCTTCACTGAATTCAGACCTTTGTACCTCTCTCAAAATATGAATCTCAGCTGAATTCAGGGTCTCCAAGTTCAAAGACTGTGGACAGTAATGCCATCGTCTTGTTGAATGTTTACAGGAGTGCTTTGCAAGTAAAACATGCCTCAAGATACTGCGAACTAGTTTAGTCCATTGCGAGTACCTTTCTAAGCGAGACTTGAAAGAGCTATGGGTCTTTCCCTCGACGGTCGTTTTGTTGACTTCAACAATAGGTCGAACTTCCTTATCATCATCTGATATGAGAGCAAAGTTCTCACGTGCTCCCACAAAGGTAGTGGAGAGGTTGTCTTCCCTAAGGAATGCTGGTCCTCGCAGCCACATACTTTGAGGGAGTTCTTGAGCATCGAACGATTGAGTACCCAAATCTGCTGGATTTTGATCAGTAGTAATGTGCCGCCATTGGTCAGGTTCACTAAATGACCTAATCCTACGCACTCTATTCGCAACGTAGACATAAAAACGTTTGGCATCATTGGTTATATAACCAAGAGCTATCTGACTGTCACTGTAAAATCTGAAAGTTTTCTTCTCTAAATCCATCTGTTCTTTGATGATTTCTGCTATCTCTATCCCAAGAACCGCTGCACACAGTTCCAGCCTGGGGATTGTGTGGCCATGTGCTGGAGCCACTTTGGCCTTGCCAATAAGGAAACCTACATCACTGTTACCCTCGTCCTTCCATACTTTCAGAAAAGCCACTGCAGCTATCGCATATTTGGAGGCGTCCGTAAAAATGTGCAGTTCCTTGCGTTTTGACTCACAAACAGAATACTTGCTGCACATCCTTGGTATCCTGACATCTTCAAGATGACGGACTGAGTTGACCCAATTAGACCATTTCAAGCGGAACGAGTCATCTAGGGGATCGTCCCAATGAACTTCACTGGAGGTTGATAGCATCTGTCGGAATAACATCTTCCCTTGCACAGTTACTGGAGATGCAAAACCAAGGGGGTCGAACAGACTATTGACGGTTGATAAGACTCCCCTGCGAGTGAAGGGCTTCTGGTCAGTTGATATCTTGAAGGTGAAGACATCAGCATTGATGTCCCACGACATACCAAGGCTTCTCTGTACAGGTAAATCATCTCCGCCAATATCTAAATCCTTTAGGTCTCTGGCCAGATCATCTGATGGAAACTTCAACAACACAGACTTTGAGTTTGAGGAGATTTTATGAAGTTTAAGCTGTCCCCCTTCCTTCAGGGCAAGCTGAGTTCTCTTCACCAGGTCGATGGCCATATCTTCACTTGGACAACTTAAGAGTCCATCATCCACGTAAAAGTCTTTTGAAATAAAGTCAATTACATCAGGGTCAGAGTGAGCAACACAGCGACGTAGTCCATATGTTGCGACTGCCGGGGAGGGGCGATTTCCAAAGACGTGGACAGTCATTCTGTACTCCTTTAAGGGTAGGTCTAAATTATTCTCTGGGTGCCATAAAAAGCGCAAATAGTCTCTGTGATCCAATTTCACCTTCAAATTGTGAAACATCTGCTCCACATCCCCTATTACTGCCACCCTCTCACGTCGAAAACGTAAGATGCCTTGGCGATTGTTCGTAATGTCTGGACCTTTAAGAAGGACATCATTGAGCGAGATGTTGCTGAACTTCGCAGACGAGTCAAACACCATTCGTATGGAATCCCTTTTCTGCGGGTGATAAACACCGAACATAGGAAGGTACCATCTTTCTTTGGTATCGGGTAAAGGTGGCGCTTCCTCTGCATGCCCCTTCTCAAATATTTTGTCCATGAACTTTGACACATGTTCTCTCTTTGTAGGGTTCTGTTTCATACTTCGATCAAGAGACAGCGCTCGATTGATGGCCTGTGGTTTATTGTTTGGTAATGGCTGCCTTTGGTTCCGGAACGGAAGAGGTGCCTCCCAATAACCATCTGAATCTCTTTTGAATTCTTTGTCCATAATGTCAAGAAAGGCTGTGTCTTCTATTGAGGGGGCAACTTTCTCATCATGATCTGTCTTTAAAAAGATACTGTCCTTAACCAGTAGCTTGCTATCACAAGGCTGGAATACTGAAGGACGGCCACTGCTTAACACATGTTTTATGTACTGTCACTTTATGGGGCATATGAATGGCATCTAGACAAATGGGCCCAATAATTACCCAGCCTAGGGGAAGTTTCTGAGCGAAGGGAACAGACCATCCTGTCACATGTCTTTGGTCCTCTACTACATGAGCTGAAGTGAGATCTCGTCCAATCAGTAGCTCGATCTCAGCAGTCTCAATCAACTCTGGGATGCTGTCTTTGATATCTGTTAGATGGGAATATTGTTCAGCTATACGAGGTGAAGGTATCTCCTCCCTGTTGTTAGGTAAATCCGAGCATTCGATTAATGTGGGGAGATCAAAGGAACTACTGCCATCAAGGGCTTCCTTGACGAGTCCTTGAGCCCTTCTTCCTGCTGACATAACTGAACCTGAACAAGATGTTAAAGTGTACTCATACTCAGGTCCGCCAACATTGAATGCATCAAGGAGTGAGGGTGCTGCTAGGGAATGATTGCTCTGATCATCCAACATAGCATAAACAATTCTGAAGTGACTGGCAGAGTCCTTATGGTATATTTTCACTGGCAGAATTTTTGCACAAGATTTACTTGTCCCTCTTACTGTCCCACATATTTTGGTGCAAGAAATTGTGACTGTTTGTCGACGTTGCTCCCCTTCATGGTTTTTCTCCCCTCCATGATCTTCTCTTCTCTTGTGATTCTGAGGACTCGAATTGTCAGTATGAAGTGCTGTTGGATGAGAGGACTGATTACACAAGCCGCACCTTACCAAAGACGTGCAGTTTTTAGCGTAATGTTTGTTAGGTCCACAACACTTGAGGCAGATTCCGTTAGCCATGATAAACTTCTTTCTTTCTTCAAAAGTCTTGGACCGGAACTTGTTACATTCATTCAAGGTATGATTCGAGTTGTGAAGAGTGCACCGAGCCAAGTCATTGTTTTCAGTCAAAACATGATTAGAAGAACTCTGTGTTTCAGTTTTCCTGGCAGCAACTACTGTTGTTTTCTGGAAATTCTTTGGATGGTTCACATAGGGCTTCTCACCATCAGAACATGAGTAGTTAAAACTTGGATCATTCTTCATCCGAGCCATGTCCTTCAAGAAGTTGATGAAGAAGGTGAATGGCGGATATATGGCTGACTCACGCTTCTTGTACTTTGTCGCTTCGGCAGTCCATTTGTCTTGTAGTGATGTAGGAAGTTTTGTAACAATCGGATTTATGCCAGTGGGAGAATCAAAGTATCCAAAAAGGGATGCATACTGGGACTGTCGTTTAACTGAAGCTATTTCTTCCACTAAATCCAGAAGATTGTAGAGTCTTTTCATGTCCTGATTCCCAATCTTTGGAAACGATGAAATCTGACGTCTGAGAGAACTTTCTATCAACTCGGGTGCCCCATATCTCTCTTCAAGCCTCTCCCACACTAATCTCAGGGCGGTTTCCGGGTCGTTGGCATTACATTTCCTTATGGTTGCTGCCTGTCTTGAGGATTCATTGCCGAGATATCGTACAAGCATGTCAAGTTCCTCCGACGGGGTTACACTCAGGTCCTCCATGATGTTCCTAAAGGTAAGTTTCCAGGTAAGGAATAAACTTGGATTGTCATCATACTTTGTAATTCTTGATAGGATGAGATCCTTTTTCAGAAGGAACTTTGTCATGTCCATAATTGGTTCCCTATGTGTTGGGTTCATAGGAGTGTTTTCAATGTGGGTCTCAATCGGAGCGCTAGGCTGATTGTCACTGTTCACGTAAACGTGTTGAGTAGTTTCATTTGGTAGTATCACAGGTAGAGGTGACAAAGAGAACTCTGGCAGCTCTGGCAGAGAGTACGCAGTCTGAGTATTTGGCTGTCTTTGTGGTTCATTGAACAGTCTGGTAGGTTGCACTTGCAAAGGTGGGGTGATAGTCGGTGGGAAGGTCGGAAGATATGACCCCCGACGTTGTCCTTTCGGCAAACTTTCCACGTATTGCTGTGTGCGTGAGAAAGCGTCGTCTGATGGGAGGTTGAGTTCAGGACTGTGCTCTTTAAGAGCACTAACTTCCGCCTGTTTGGATTCTATCTCCTCTTCAATTTTGATCGCCTTCAGCTTTGTTTCCAGTTCCGCTTTCTGGCGAATAATGTTAGCTTCTTCCGCAAGAAATTTCTTCTTCACGACAGCTGCACGTAGCTCTGCTTCCTTCCGTTCTAAAAGGCTAATGTTTGATTTCACAAAATTCCTGCTAGAGGAACGACTATGTGAAGTGGAAGGTGGTGGGGGATTCAATAAAGAGTCTATTCTTTTTGAAATCAAATTTGCTTTACAGAGTACTGTTTGTCTAATTAGGTTGTGAGAGGATTCTTCGTTATCACTTTCGTAGGTTCTTACTGTTCTGAGATACTCAACATACTTGCGCGAAAGTTCTGTATATGCTTGTTCACACGACTGTATTAAATCTCTAACGGATTTCAGAGAGCTTGGATCATCCTTTATCTGATCAATGTGCGCTGCACCTGCATCCATATCATCCTTAATGTTGTGTAACTCTGTCGTAAATTTGGCCACTCTACGTTCATATTCCTCTTGGGCTGGCGTTCTTAAGTGTCTTCTTCTCTTTAACTCCAATGTTTCACCTGCTTCCGCTAGCTCGGTGTACAGGTCAGTCATCATTGTTTGGTGATGAGTCCAGATCTCTTACTGTGCACAAACAAGCTTAAGTGTGTTTAAGATGTTTATTGGCCTCCTCGTCATGAGGGTAAGAGACTACAAAACAAAACAGCCGTCTTACAAATAAATTCATAAACAAACAATTATAAACAGTTATTAAATTCGTAAGATAACACCATGACAATCCATGACATACATTATGCCAAATTTGAAAAATACATGAAAAATCTGTTTTATGACTTTCTAAATACTAGCTTCAATACTGTATTACATTGTTTGACCTTTCAACTTAATACAAACTTGATACAAACCAAATAATTCATAAAGTAAAGTGATAAAGTATCGATACATAAATATACATATCCAGATTTTCCCTAACGTCAATGCCATGTGCGTTTGTGCACTTAGGATTTATAACAAAAATATGCAAAAATCAAGTATAGACAACAGTTAAGACTTATCGTATGCAATAATTATAATGTGATTACAAATATGCAAAGGAAAAACTTACTCTTTGGGCCTTCAAAACAATATAAAAGGGGCAAATATGCCTCCGAAACAAAACGTGAAGTCTTCCCGGAAATACAGTACAGGCGGTAACTGGAAAAACCCGAAACCCCCCGATTTTTGGAGAATACCCATACAGGAGGGGTGAAACCCCAATAAAGTGGTGGAAACCCCATAAAATTGAATGTAATGGGGTACTATAAGGCCTAAGGTGATGTTTAATTGAATGATATTGACATCCGTAAATTTTTATAGCCAATTTTACCTCAGAATCGACGGGTTTTCTTCTTGTCTTGATATACTGCACACCACGCCCGATCTAAATTTGCGATCGCTGATGTCGTTTCGAGTAATCCGTGGAAATAATTACTATCTTGATCAATATGAATATTATATTATGTATGAATATAATTTTAAAAAAAAATTATTTGTAAGGAAACCTTAAGAATATATTCTTATATATAAGAATATGAGTATGTATTATATATAAGTATGAAATATTTATCATGTTGAAAGACATTACAGTGCAATGTTTAATTGAATTTTTTAAAAAGAATTTAACTAGTCCATTAATCAAGAAATAAAGTCATTTTTATAAATTCCAATCATTTATAATATGTAATTGAATTTAATCAATTAATGAATGAATCTGTTAATGTAATTATTATAATGAAAGACATTACAGTGAAATTTATAATTGAATGTTTTTTTATGAATTTAACCAGTCCATTAATCAAGTATGGAATGCCATATACGACAGCCAACTGCTTACTGCCAACAGCTGACTGCTTACTGCCAACTGTCAGCTGCTTACTGCCAACTGCCACACATATTTGAATAAATTTTATATTTGTATTGATATTTATATGAATTTTCACAAAAAAGGAAAAAAGGCACGGATCCAGGACATTTTTTTCCAAGGGGGTCACCCTGGTAAAATTGAATTGAATATATCAAAATACTGGATCATTATTCCTAGTCAATCTTTTGTTCATATAAAAAAATATTACAGCCAAATGAAAGTTATATACATAAAATAAAATAACATAATAAAAATTTTAGAGAAAGGAATTTATAATTTAATTAGCAACATTTAAAAAAACAATATAACATTCCTAACCTAACCTAACCTAACACAACACCAAACAGTATTCACTGGTCTGCACCCGTCTGGCGGGGGAGGAATACTGCCTGATACTAACCCTATTCTAAGTCCTAACCTAACACAACACCAAACAGTATTCACTGGTCAACACCCGTCTGGCGGGGGAGGAATACTGCCTGATACTAACCCTACTCTAAAAAATAATAAATAAAATCTTAAAAACATTTTTGGTTTTGTTTTTTGGTTTAAGACTGATTATTGGCCTCTGATCTACTGTATTTTAATTTTTTTTAAAGTTGTAGTCCTGTCCACTTTTTTACGTTTTTGTTGACCTATCTTTTTACCTAAGGTACGTGGTCTAACTATAGTGGTAGTACCGTCAGTTGATGTAAGCGTCGTTTTGTCTGGAGGAATGTAAAGTTTGAATCTTTTGTACAACCTATCTCGCTCGTCTGTCGTTTTGGTCACCCACACTGATTTTAACTTTATAATTTTTATCCAATTGAACAAACAAGCACTAGGAAATGGTTAACTCCTTCAGGAAGAATTTCTTTTCAACTCCTTCAGGGACCACAAGAATATGACAGGGCCAATAAGCTAAACTGAAATTTGATTAATATATAACGATTGTAAACAGAAATATGGCACAAGTGTTAACTAGGTTGAAGTATTTTTTGAACATTATTACTGTGACAACTTAATGAATCTATAAGACTGTAAATTACCACTATCAGTAATACCGGTAAGTGGTGGTGGTGCCACCAAGTGGTTCCAAAAGCATTTTCTATATTACAGGAAGGGTCTAGTTAGCTAACCTGAACGTTGAGGTTTTTCATCATTGTACTATTATACGCCTTATCCTTGAAGTGTTCATCAAATGATTATTGGGGCAAGGTACAGGGGGCCTAGGACTATCATTTGCCAGTCTCAGAATTGGGCTGTAGTGGCACCACCAAGTGGTGCCAAGTGCGTGGGGCATATTTCCAGCATTCATATTTTATTCATTGTTGGCCTCCTGAGCAAACTAACACTGGGGGTAGTTAGGGGGCCTTAGGGGATATCACTTGACAGATTTCTGCAGGGTCCTAGGGACCGGAAGGGTCCAGTTAGCTAACCTGAAATTTCAGGTTTTTCGTCATTGTTCATTTGGAAACGGAAAAAGGGCAACTATTATACGCCTTATCCTTGAAGTGTTCATCAAATGATTATTGGGGCAAGGTAGAGGGGGCCTAGGACTATCATTTGCCAGTCTCAGAATGGGGCTGTAGTGGCACCACCAAGTGGTGCCAAGTGCGTGGGGCATATTTCCAGCATTCATATTTTATTCATTGTTGGCCTCCTGAGCAAACTAACACTGGGGGTAGTTAGGGGGCATTAGGGGGTATCCCTTGACAGATTTCTGCAGGGTCCTAGGGACCAGAAGGGTCCAGTTAGCTAACCTGAACTTTGAGGTTTTTCATCATTGTTCATTGGGAAACGGGAAAAGGGCAACTATTATACGCCTTATCCTTGAAGTGTTCATCAAATGATTATTGGGGCAAGGTAGAGGGGGCCTAGGACTATCATTTGCCAGTCTCAGAATGGGGCTGTAGTGGCACCACCAAGTGGTGCCAAGTGCGTGGGGCATATTTCCAGCATTCATATTTTATTCATTGTTGGCCTCCTGAGCAAACTAACACTGGGGGTAGTTATGGGGCCTTAAGGGGTATCCCGTGACAGATTTCTGCAGGGTCCTAGGGACCGGAAGGGTCCAGTTCGCTAACCTAAACTTTGAGGTTTTTCGTCATTGTTCATTGGGAAACGGAAAAAGGGCAACTATTATACGCCTTATCCTTGAAGTGTTCATCAAATGATTATTGGGGCAAGGTACAGGGGGCCTAGGACTATCATTTGCCAGTCTCAGAATGGGGCTGTAGTGGCACCACCAAGTGGTGCCAAGTGCATGGGGCATATTTCCAGCATTCATATTTTATTCATTGTCGGCCTCCTGAGCAAACTAACACTGGGGGTAGTTAGGGGGCCTTAGGGGGTATCCCTTGACAGATTTCTGCAGGGTCCTAGGGACCGGAAGGGTCCAGTTAGCTAACCTGAACTTTGAGGTTTTTCGTCATTGTTCATTGGGAAACGGAAAAAGGGCAAGTATTCTACGCCTTATCCTTGAAGTGTTCATCAAATGATTATTGGGGCAAGGTACAGGGGGCCTAAGACTATCATTTGCCAGTCTCAGAATGGGGCTGTAGTGGCACCACCAAGTGGTGCCAAGTGCGTGGGGCATATTTCCAGCATTCATATTTTATTCATTGTTGGCTTTTGTGCTTGCTTTTGAGGGCCCGGGGATGAAATTCACAGTTTAAAATGGAAACTGATGGGTCAAAAAGACCATTTGCAGATGGAAAGAAGGACTGAATACACCTAGATGTAACTGACGCAGCTACATGCATAGACCATGCACTTGAAAATTGGTAATTTCTACCACATCCCTAAGTGACTCCTCATACTTAGGAGCTACATCTGACAACTTATCACTCTTGTGAATGCTTATATAATAATCTCTATGGTAAAACATTTCTAGACAAGTCCTAACCCTGATTTCAGATGCAAGATTTTCATCCCCCTGAATAGCCATGGAAATAGCATTAAATAAACAATTACCATTTCCCCTAACTGACACAGGCACATAATCTGACTTCCCTAACAAATGATTAGCCACATGATCTACCCTCATAGATTTATCAAATTTTGTAGCTTGTGCAGATGGCAAACGTTTCGGTTGTGCACGCATAAAGATTGATTCCATCCTAACCCCCATCTCAAAGCAGCCAGATCGAATGGCAGATTCTAACCGTTTAAGAGACTCATCATAATCAAAAAAACCCCATTCATTTACACAACATTTGGAACAAATGTAGGGCAAGGTGCATTTTTGCAAATAAATAAAATCAGATTTAGACAATCCCTCACAACTTTGGTGAAACCATCTTTCACAATTGTCACAACCTACATCTTTATAACCATCACAGTTATCGTGGCAAATGCCACATGGATAGTCACAGACAGCTGCAGACATTATCTAACTATTTTGAGCCTTAGAAACTCTTTAGGAACTATTGAACTCAAAACTATTTCAACGATACCCTTTTTAAAGCCTACTGGAATTTTGTAGTAATAATTAAACAAAAGCACTATTCTATTTAGT